AGGGAAAGATGACTCACATGTCCATTTTGCACAGCAAGTTAATGCCCCTTGATTTTTCACTTGAATTTATCTGAATAAGTCTGGAAATATTTCTGACTTAATGATCGATAGGGCTTCAATGTCAATATTTGTTCAAAAGATATGAAAGACTTGATTATACTGACAGAGAGTACTCCTTATTTAGGCATGGCAGGAGAAGGAAGGTTGGTGGCTAAGAAAGCTTTACTCTCAAGAGGGAGCCATAAAGATAAAACCAGACCTTGCTCATAGTCAGTTTAGGTTGAATACACATTCTAGGACAAAAGATAGTCTCAATAAGAGATGTTTTAAAAGTAGAAACTGTACAGGTAACATTCATTCTTCTAATGGCCCTTGGGTCAAAGAGGAAAATAAAAACTGAATTATAGATTAAAAATGAGGCAAACTGAAAACATTACATATCAAAATGTATGAGGTGTTGCCAAATATACTCCAATAACACCACAGTCTTAAAATGCCTTTGTTAGAAACTTTATTAAAAATAAGCGAACACTATTCAACACAAAAGACTAGACAAAGTAAATCAAATTCAAAAATAGAGTGAATCAATAAAAATAAAATAAATTAATGAACTGGAAAATATATAAATTGGTATAGATAAAAAATGAAAACATGTAATCTTTGAAAAGACCTATAAAGTTGACAAACTTCTAGCAAATATGATAGAAAGAAAGAGAGAGGAAGAAGAGGAAAGGAAATATAATATAAACAATATTAGGAATGAGAAAGACCATAACTACAGAAAATGAATAAAGAATATGAAAGAATATTATAAACTATGCATATTAATTTGTAAATATAAATAACCTGAACAATTTTCTAGCAAAATATAAATTACCAAAGTTGGTTCAATAAGAGGTAAGAGATCTGAAGAGCCCCAAACAAGAGAAGAGAATGAAATGACGTCAAAGATGTATGTCAAAGAAAAAAAAAAAAAGATGTATGTCACTCATAAAGAGATGGCGTTATGGAGCTGATTCAGCTTTTCTTTTGTATGTAAACAGTTTTGGAGCACAGGAAAAATAAGCGTTCTTCATTTTTTTTCTAATCCAAATATGATAGATATTATACCAAAGATGCAAGAGGGAGGAGATATGGGAACATATGTATATGTATAACTGATTCACTTTGTTATAAAGCAGAAACTAACACACCATTGTAAAGCAATTATACGCCAATAAAGACGTTAAAAAAAACCCAACAACGTATATGAATATAAATGTAAACTCCCCTAAGTAAAGTACTAGTGATTTCCATTTTGCCCAGCACCAATGTAAAACAAAATGTACACACGTTAGAACCATGCAAGCAAGGGCATGGCTCTGATATGCACAAGTAGCAGTTAACAGGGTACCAGCAAAATGAGGGCTGCCTATATTATCAAATTTAGGACTGCAGGAAAGCAATCTACATCGAGACCAGTAGGGATTATCAGAGTGTAAGGATGATTCAATAGTACTAAATACTTCAATATAATTGACTTATTTATATATTAAGGAGAAACAATATGAAGTTGATAATTACTGAAAAATTATTTGAAAGAATATGCTATCCACTTCAAATTTTCAAAATGCAAATTAAATTTAGATTGGAAGAAAAAATATCCTCTTACTATAACGAAGAGTATTTTACAGACATGAACTATAAAAATTACACTCAAGATGAATCAAAACTACAATGAGGTATCACCTCACACCAGTCAGAATGACCATCATCAAAAAATCTAGAAACAATAAATGCTGGAAAGGGTGTGGAGAAAAGGGAACCCTCTTGTACTGTTGGTAGGAATGTAAATTGATACAGCTACTATGGAGAACAGTATGGAGGTTCCTTAAAAAACTAAAAATAGAACTACCATATGACCCAGCAATCCCACTACTGGGCACATACCCTGAGAAAACCATAATTCAAAAAGAGTCATGTACCACAGTGTTCACTGCAGCTCTATTTACAATAGCCAGGACATGGAAGCAACCTAAGTGTCCATCGACAGATGAATGGATAAAGAAGATGTGGCACATATATACAATGGAATATCACTCAGCCATAAAAAGGAATGAAATTGAGTTATTTATAGTGAGGCGGATGGACCCAGAGTCTGTCATACAGAGTGAAGTAAGTCAGAAAGAGAAAAACAAATACCATATGCTAACACATATATATGGAATCTAAAAAAAAAAATGGTTCTGAAGAGCCTAGGGGCAGGACGGGAATAAAGATGCAGATGTAGAGAATGGACCTGAGGACATGGGGAGGGGGAAGGGTAGGCTGGGACAAAGTGAGAGAGTGGCATGGACATATATACACTACCAAATGTATAACAGACAGCTAGTGGCAAGCAGCCGCATAGCACAGGGAGATCAGCTCGGTGCTTTGTGTCCACCTAGAGGGGTGGGATAGGGAGGGTGGGAGGGAAACACAAGAGGGAGGGGATATGGGGATATACGTATATGTATAGCTGATTCACTTTGTTATAAAGCAGAAACTAACACACCATTGTAAAGCAATAATACTCCAATAAAGATGTTAAAAAAAATTACACCAAGATGAAAATATTAGAATCTTTTTTATGAAGTCAGGAATAGGATGAGAATGATGAATATCATTGCTATATTATACAACAATGCTCTCAAGATTCTGGCCAACCAAGTAAGACAAGAGAAAGAAATTACACACACACACACACACACATGTATGTATGTATATATGCATATAGGAAAGGAAAAAGACAAAACAATTGTTTTCTGATAATCTAAATGTTGGTCTAGGAAACTCCAAGAGATTCAGTCGAAAAGCCATCAGAAAGAATAGGGTAGCTGCATACAAAATATAAAAAGCAATAGTTTTCTTACATACCAGTAAAAACCAGTTAAAATAACTTCCCAATAACCATGACACCCAAAACTCATCTGGTTTCAGATTTTTATGCTGTCACTTGCAACTCCCTACTTTCAGGTGTTAACTTCTCTTTGTATTAGCTGGGACTTGTGTGGTTGCAAGAGAGAGACCAAACTTGAAAAAGCCTTGGCAAAGAGGGATATCAGAAATAGTGGATTTCAAGGCCATCAGGGCTCTACCTCTCACCTCTGCTTCTCTGTACAGAGCTGCTTTCTTTATGTAGCCACTTAGCACTCCCCAAGGGTTATATCTTACAGCTTCAGGTACTGGCAAGAGTCCAACTCTCATTTTCAGTAGAAAAAAAGTCTGAAGGAAGGATTCTGATTGGCCCACTCCTGATCCAAACAACCGACCAAAAGGTGGGCCACTGTACTAACATAATGGCTTTTGCAGTAACCATGGGGATTGTAGGAGAAGAATGGTTCCTTAAATAAGGGGTGCTGAGCAGAAAATCATACTACCTTAGTGTTTAAAAACAAAACAAAACAAAACAACTAACATCTGATAGCTTCCTTTTGCCCTTCAGATAAATTCCTGTTTACCTTGTATGCAGGCCTTTACAATCTGCTTCCACCCTATGATAGACTGTTTGCAAAGACAGTCACAACCATCTCTCCCCTCCCTGTTCTTACACCCCTTTGCAATGTGACTCTGCTGCTCCTCCCATCAGGAAGTAGAATCTATTTTCCCACCCTTGGAATCGTGGCTGGCCATGAATTAATTTGGCCAATAGAATGTGGTAGAAATAACAATGTGTGAATTCCAAACCTAGGCTTCAAGGGGTTCTGCTTTCATCTTACAGGTTCTTACAGGTTTGCCTCCATGTCGTAATACATGATGTTGCCATGTAAGGAAGCCCAGTTAGACCTCAGGAACGTGTGACTCAGAGACAAGCTGCCTCCCATCTAATATACAGATGACTATACCCACATGAGTATCCCAAGTGAGACCAGTAGAAGAACCACTTCTAGCTGAGAAAACCCCATATCATCATGAGCAAATAAAATGAATGTTCTGTTAAGCCACTAAGTTTTGGGGTGGTTTGTTATGCAGCAAGAGATAACTGATACACACCCTATTTCTCTAGCTTAATCTTTTATTCTCTTTATACTCTGTTTTCCAGCTTCTCTGAACTTTGTGACATTCGTAGAAACCACAGGGCTCTTTCATGCTTCAAAGTCTTTGCATATGCTATTTCCTCTGCCTAGAATGTTTTTCCTTCTAACCTTCTCTATTTGGAAAACCTCTATTCCTTGTTTCAGATCTAGCTCAAATTCTGCTGTCTATATAAAAGGCTTCTCCAGCTTCCCTAAGCAAAGTTACTCTCTCACCTGGGATCCCAAGGCACTTAATTTAAATTTTATTATGACCCTTTCCATATTGCACAGCCTTTTATCTATTTATATGTCTGTCTCTCAAAGTGGACTGAAAGCTTCCTGAATGCAAGAATGACATCT